TGGAGTTTATATCTGGGTTATTTCAAATTATGTTTATTGTTTTTCTCTTTTTAAAACTTGTTCTGTGCCCCAGTTGAATGCTCACATTCATTGTTTGAATGGCATGTTTTATACTTAGCCTCAAATTCTTGGCAAACCACATACTCAATATCTACTGAAAATACTATATCCTTGTGGAGATAGTAAATTCCCTTGAGCTTTTTCTGTAAAGACAGATATGCACTATAATAATTTGCCTCAATTACACCTGCTATGCCATTTGCACTTTGATTTTGAAAGGTGAATTTATTCTTTTTAATCATTATTAAGAACATATGTATTTCCTGCCAAGGCAGCCTTATAAAAACATTGGAGGCATATGAGAAAAATTCCTTTGAGGCCTCAGGCACATTGAACTGTCCTGAGAATGTGAAGTGAGGAGAGATTGATGCATGGACTACCTGTTCAGGAATTCTGTAGTACTGGATTGGATTTTCCATGGTTTCCCTCTCTGTTTTACCAAAATTACTACATGCGTGCATCCCATGCACACATACAAATGTATACACACACACACAAAGTGCTCTTAGATGGAATAAGGATCTATATATGATCTAGCTGTAGTTTAGTTACACGGGAGAAAATTAATTTTCACACCTTAATATATATTTTTGAGAGTATAATTTCTGTTTTAGCTATACTGCAATAGCTACTTTCAACTTAAATATTACATACAGCCAATGTCCACTCCAAAGCATACTAGGTGAAAGGAATGAATAGTTACCACTGGAATTATGACTGTCACTAAAGCAGGGAGCCAAAACAGTTCCAAGGAGATTCTGTGATTTAAACAATAATAGTAATAACAATTAAAAATCATTCAGTCTACTTAACTTTGTTATCTCATGGAAAACGTGGGCCGGAGGCCATTGACGTTTTCTTCCAATGGTGTGAATGAAGATGTTACATACTGAGCTCCTCAGAGACATTTCAAAGTGAAGCCCACTACTATTCTGAAATTCTGTTTTTTATTTTTGAAATGCAGACATGGGACTGTAGCCATTTCTGGCTATTGGTACAAAATTAAAAGCATGAATATCTCTTCTCTCACTAGCAATAGCAGCTATTAAGGCCAGAAGGCAGACGGTTATGAGCCTTCAGTCTGACCTCCTGCATAACACCAGTCTTTGAATTTCACCTGGTAATTCTTGCAAACCCAGAACTCCAAGCTGACTTCGATCATAGTTTACGAAAGATGTCCAGGTTTGATTTAAACATTTCAAGGGATGGAGAATCCATCACATACCCGTGGTAATTTGTTCCAATGGATAAGTACCTTCACTGTTAAAAATATGTTCCTTATTTCCTGTGTTAATATTACTTCAGCTTCCAGACACTAGATCTCTATTTTTTTCCTTTATCTTCCAGAAGTAAAAAGTACTGTTCTACACAGGTGATTGCAGACAGTGGTATGTACTTCCTTAAAGAGACCAAAAAATTAAGCCTCTTTCTCACCTTTGACTCAGCAGCTTCCCTTTTCCATCATAAAGCAGGAGTAAATTCTGAGTGGAATTACTGTGAAACAGGAAAGGTTAGACTTTTCTCTCAAGTGATTTCACTTGAACACTTGGAAACAAGACATGTAATCCATGAGGATCTATATTAAAATCAACAGCTTTATTATGTACTGCTTCGCACTTTATCTCTGTATCTCCCACCATTTTGCAAAACAGGTTTGGTGTAGACTGCACAGTGATTTCTGGTTCCAAAGTTCCTGCATTTAAATCAGACTCCCATTCTAGGGGGACTTTTAGGTCAGCAGCAGTTGCTCTCAACTTTCTGAGTATTCTGAAATACTCACCACTAACCCACAGGATTTAGTAGCTTCTCCAGGTGACATTTACTTGGAGCCAGGCTGAATCCTAGGGGATGACTGCAGTGCTGCCTGATGGTCTGTATCACTCCATTCAGTGGGATTGCACAGGATGTACATCAGTTCAAAACTTGGCCTGCAGGCACTGAACTTACACCGTGAGTGAGGAAGTAGAAGGGACAGTGCCTTTAGTGAATTACGTTTCTACCTGGGTAACCTTTATAGTAAAATTAAGGAATGGCATTTCATTTTTCAGCTTAAATTCTCAATCATCATGATGAAAACAAATGTTTTGTAGCCTACAATTTTTTTTTTTCTGGGAGAGCTGATATATTTTGCTTAGCTTACTGATTTATTATTTTGATGATCTTTCCTTTTGCCTTAGCAGTTTGAGATGTCTCTTGTGGTATATCTCTTGTCAACCTGATACCTGAGGAGAATTCATTCCCCTCTAGTCACTACCAAAATTCAACATCAATGATAATTTAATAGCTAGTAATGCATACCTAAGCCATGCAGACCAGATCAGGTGACATGCACATGAAAAGTAAGCCCCAAAACCAGGTCCCTAAGTCCCTGCACAATTTCAGATCTCTGTATGCTTAGTGCATATGTATCCACCGTCTCCTAAATAAAAAACTTCCAGTGTCCCCTTTGATCCTTTGCGTGCTGATTTGCAGCTCCTGTTTGGTAAAAACAAACCTCAGATACTGGGTGCAGGAACCCTAAGGTGTTTGGCTTAGCAGAATACAATGAGCTTTCTCTGATGTTAGTTTCTTTAATTAAAAGAGCATATACACTGACCAAATGCAAAATATTCTTTCTCTCTCTTCTTGTTTGGATAGCCTAAATTTCTTGCAGCTGAATTCCTTTTTACTCCTGGTTAAGTTTCCCCTTTGTTACCAGTGCCAGATTTGCCAGTTAATACACAAAAACATCACAGCCTTATAGTCTGTGGATCAAGAACAGACCCTGATGCTTCTTTTTGTCATTAAGTTCAACAGCTAACAAAGTGCAACCAGTAAACCATGAATAAACTCAAGAAAAGTTCAGTTCTAAAATCATTAATTGGTTTGCATTTCTCTGTGGTTTTGCTTATGAAGTCAACTTCCTAAAGAGTTGCACGATTTTCCCTTTGTGAAACCAGGCATCTAGAGACATGTAGACTGAGGCTAAATCTGAAAGGATTCACTCATTTGCAAAGTTTGTTTCAATCTACCACACATCCGTACACTAGTGTTGCTTTCTGCAGCACAAATACATGTCCCACTACATTTCCAATATTCCAGCTTTTCTGGCAAGGCAAGAATACAAACCATCTGCTTTTTGGAGAGAAAGGTGAGGGCTCTGACTAGCATCATTCCCCGTGGGCAATCAGGCTCATGCCAAGCTGCTGAGGGGGCAGGAGGGAAACCTGCACTCCTGCCTGGAGCCCTCACATGCCAAGTTGCAGCCTGGAATTTTTACAGCTCCATTCTGAACCTCTGACAAGAAGGGTTTACAACAGAATTCTTGCCAGACCCTTAACTATAGCGACGCCACTATAATATTTATAAGTACATTATACTCTTTCCAAACATATGTGCTTATTACTTATGTCTCCGCTTCTGCCTCTCTTCTGGGGAACTTTTCTGTATAAACAAAACAGATTCTCTTGCTTATACTTAGAAAATCTAATTGCTCTGTGTCTCTAGCTGTTATGCAAAAGCCCAAATAGCCGAAAGATTCTTTCAGTGCATTTACACAGCAGTGCGTCTCTAAAAAAAAAAAAAAAAAGCATAAACTTCCTTTTCCACTTTTCTCTTCTTTGCTTCCATAAATCTTCCCATTTCACTCATGTTTGGATGTTTGGATAAGATTCCTCTTTAAAAAAAAAAAAAAAGAATGAAAAAGTAAATCTAAAAAATGCAAGTCTGAGGTGGACGGGCCATCAGTTACTCAGCCTGGCCTTATAAGATCTGACAATTCTGTCCCTTTAAGTAAACAGAGGAGCAGGAAAGATACACAAACAAAAAGACCACTTGCAGGGCTGAGGGCTCATCTGCTCCAGCAGAAGCAGGTTCCCAGGGAAAGTGATTGCTTAATCGTAATAGGGAGTGACAGGGATTTCCTAGCTTTTCCACAAAACAGTTCTGTCCTAGGCCCAGATTTGCCCATTTCTGTTGATGAGTTAGACAGATGTGGCCTGCAGGTGAGAAACTGCTGGAAAGTTGCTAACTGAAAGCAGCACACTATCCTCCGCACAAAGTTTGTCAGATTCAGAGTCACCAGAGCTCCCAGTAAACCTAGGCTGGCCTGTTCTTAGCTGGTTTGAGAGATGGTTTTTATCAGGGGTTGAGGTTTGGAAATAAAAGTCAAACCGAGGAACTGTACCAAAGTGTCTTCAAGTGAGCTTGAACAAAATGAAATAGGGTTTGAATCTGAAGTAGTAGAATAGTAGAGATTGTAGAAATTTACTGAAACCAACTATTAACTTTCTCATGAGAATTCAAACACGTGTCAAACAGTACTTAAGATAAAATCGTAGAATGGCTTACGTTGGGAGGGATCTTAGAGATCATCCAGTTTCACCTCTCTACTAAAAGCAGGGCTGCCACCCACCAGCTCAGCTGGCAAGGGCCCCATCCAACCTAGCCTTGAATAGCTCTGGGGATGGGGCATCCACAGCTTCTCTGGGCAAACAAAAATATTGTAGAATCATATCATAGAATCATAGAATGGTTTGGGTTGGAAGGAGCCCTTAAGATCATCTAATTCCAACCCCCTCCTATAGGCAGGGATACCTCTCTCTAGGCCAGGTTGCTCAAAGACCCATCCAGCCTGGCCTTGAATGCCTCCTGGGTGGGAGCATCCACAGCCTCTCTGGGCAACCTGTTCCACCAACCTCACAGTAAATAATTTCTTCTAATATCTGGTCTAAATCTACCCTCTTCCAGTTTACAACCATTTCCCCTTGTCCTGTCACTGCGTGCCCTTATAAAAAGTCCCTCCCCAGCTTTCCAGCAGGGCTCCTTCAGGTATCAGAAGAGTGCTGTAAGGTCTCCTTGAGGCTTTCTCTTATCCAGGCTGAAGAGCCCCATCACCCTCACAGGGGTGGTACTCCATCCCTCTGATCATCTTCGTGGCTCTCCTCTGGACCTGCTCTAACAGCTCAATGGAACACTTAACAAAATTTTGTGTCATCCTCATGCAGGGCCCATGCTGATCTTCTCTGTATTGTTCTGATTTTAGTATATGTGCTGCTGAAGCAAGTTGAGATAGGTTTCTTCCAATTTGAAAACAGTAGGAAATCAAACATGTAAAGATGCAGATTTCTGGCTTGATTCCAGTTGGGAGTGCTGCAGATTTTTTTTCACTTCAGTTTCCTTTTACCTGGCTAAAAAAGTGTTTGTATTTTCTTTGTTCTGCTGTTTTAGGCAGTTGTATCAATTTCAGTACTATTATAATTCAGAAGTTAAACCACTTGGAATTATGGAATTTATATAGCCAGTAAAAAGGAGGGTTTGAGGCAGACAAAAAAAGTCTTTTAAGTAAGGGAGTAATACCTAGAGCATGACTTATACAAGAATGTACAATAAACTGACGTCTGCATGAGACTTCATAGAAAAAGGCATCTCTACTCTGTCTGTTCTTGATGTAGCTTCTCTTATCAGGAGGCAGAACAGGAGAAAAGTATACTGGTCTGGTCAGCATTTTACTTCACATATCTTCTGCAGTCATAAACAGCCCATAAAAAAAAGTGAAACAACTTCTTCAAAGAAGCAGCTACTATCACATATAAGAGCTTTCAAACTATTCTTTCTTGTTGAACTTTATTCTTTCTTGGCTTTCATATTCTGAAATATGGGATTTAGTCTTTGATAAGTGAACTCTTCAGTCTACACTTGTATAACATGATATAGCTGCAGGAAGAGTGGGGAAATAGCAGGATCAAGCTATCCTTAAATTATATGATGAGCTGTTTGAATGACTGATCATAGCACTGAGAAAACAACGGGATGTTGAATGAGCAGGTATGTTTTTAATTGTGATAATTCTGGGGACACGAAGACAAAGTTACTGGTGAGGGGAAAAAAAGAAGAAATAAAAATTGAAATCACAGATATGTGTGTTATACATGTATATTATGAAAGACCAAATATAACCTGTAAGTGAGAGAAATTGTATTAAAGCTTTCTGGAAATATATATGAGACATGATTCCTATCTCCAAATATTTGGATTAAGTTCTAGGGATTGACCTGAGCAGAACCTGCAGCAAAACACTTAAGAACTTCAGCCCCTGGAGCTGAAACCTGGCATTGATCATAAGTCTGAATTTTATTATCTGAAAATACTCCTCAACAGTCCCGATCCTTCTGAACAGGAGTTAAACACTGCATTGAAATCATAAGGTGTATGTATAAAATCTAATAAATCTTGCTATTTTCCCCTTATTTTTGGCATGGATTGTGTCAGAGCACTTTAGCCTTGGATGAACTGCATCCTGACGATCAAAACTGGGAAGTCAGGAAATTCAAAAAGTATTAAGAGAAAGAGACTGAAGGAAAAAAAAAAGCATACAAGTAAGTTTGATGACAAGGAACAAATCTCATTAAGAAGAAACCCACATGAGGAAAACCAGTTTTTATTTTGCCATTTTAATGGACAAAGTCAGCAATATAAAGCAACCAGGTCATCCATCTATTCCTGCAGGAAAACCACTGGAGCCTTCAATATCATAGTGTCAGCTGCTTTTCTATAGCCTGACCTCATGAGCAAAGCAGCATGAACTCTGCTGAAAAATATTCTTTTGGGTTCAGTAAGACTGCCGCCTGTTTTTAAGTTTTCTCTATGTGTGTAGGGGTATTGTGACACCTGCAGTCTGATAGAGCTGTTATTGCTCTGACTACACAAACTAATTTAGGCATCCATTTGGGGTTTTTTTTTTTAGTCGTGCTTAAATGGATGGTTTTAGCCTTTGAAAACAGGAAACAAGTGCTATAATTTTAAAGAAATGATCTGGCAATCAACCAATTAAGAGCAAGAAATCAAGGGTGTTTTTTTCTTTTTTCTTTTTTTCTTTCTTTTTGAGTCATGAGCTTAAAATTGGAAGGACTCAAACAAATATTTCCTTAACTAACCCCTGACTCTACTTAGTGTGGTAAGGAAGTGGAGGAGGAGCATGACCTAAACGGATTGAACCAGAAAATAATAAAAGAAAAACAATGCTATTCTCTGGAGAAAAGAGTGTCATGATGAAAAATCAGTTTATTCTCAGTTAGAATAAATTGTGAAAGAAAGAAAACATAAGAAGATAATTTTCAAAGAAATTGTTCTCATAAAATTTGAAGCATGTGTCATGGGGATAACATTTTAAAGGAAACAATAATTTAAACACCATCCCCTTTCCCAGAACCTTTGCTGCAAAAAAATCAAGTGCAGAGGTGCTTGGAAAACAAGCAGTTAGATTCACCTGAAAGTCTTTTTGGGCAGATTTTGTTTTGACTCATTTTGTTTATTTCTTTTGATTAACATCCAATATGTATTTCAGTTACACACAGATCTAAGCCATTAAGTCAGACTTGGGAAATGAGAGTCGCCAGCCAGGGGAAAACTGGGCTGAAGGGAATCTCGTTTTGCCTTTCCAGTGCCCCAGAGCTCTGCTTCTAAGTCGGTAAGTCAAATCCTGACACGACAGTAAATGAAAGGTGAGTGGAAATATAAGATGCATGGCTAATAAATAAATTTGGTGTGAGGTGTTAGAAGCAAAGTTCTGGCAAATCTCGCTCCTGAGAAACCGAGCTCACCCCTTTTAAGATATAGGATGAGGGATGTCTGGAGGCAGCTATGTAAACCCATGACTTGGCTTGCCAACGATGACATTAAGCAGAGTTTCTGGGATCACAGAGAAGGGATACTGCCATACCCTAAAATGTTTTGGGATGAGAGAACCCAATTTGGGTCCTATAACTGAAAGCTCTGAATAGTGGTTTACCTTTAACACTTATTTGCAGAAGACAAGGGACAGAATCCTCCAAGCTCCCACCCATTTTCTGATGTTGCAAACCAGAAACAGCGTGCCTTCACTCACAGAATTTAACAGGTTTTTCCTCCCATGCCATGGATACAGGAACAAGTCACATGAAAATGGATCTAGTCCTAAGACACTGAATATTTCCCTTCATCCTAGATGTTTACAAGTATCTTTGCTGTCAAAAAATATTCTTATAAATCAGTGGCTGTGCTTGGGTATTTCAGTCTGAGCATGTGGCTAGATATATAGAGAAGCACTCAGAAAACAACTTTCTTACACAAATAATTCTTACACAAATAAACAGCTCCACTCTTGAACTTTATGCTCACAGGGATCTCTGTCATCATCAATCACACGCAATGTTTGACCTTCCCTAAAAGGGGAGTGAGGGAACAGGAGAGGAGGGCAGAAAAAACTTGTAGCCTCTGTTCAAACTGGCTGAGAACTACTTGCTCAAATGTGGGGTACAGGATGGGCCCGATCTTCTGAAGGTGGGGAGTACTGATCTTGTGAGGAGACAGACCCAGTGTCTGAAAGGACTGTTAAACAAGAACATGGAGGACATTTGTAGGTACTGGCTAAAAGCCCCAAAATCCTTTATGAGAAGATTGCGCAGAGCAGTACAACATTTCTAGCTTTGTACTAGCTGTTCAGAGTCCGTTCCCATTTATCAAACAATAAAAACGTAATCCAACTCCTAAGAAAGACAGTTTCTGCATTAAGAAGATGTAGAAGAATTTAGGGAACATAATCATTTCAAAAGGCCTCAAGGGAGGTTGGATAAGGATAAAGAGCTCACTAATTAATTTTTCAAGTAGAGCACTTATTTCTCCTAAAATAAGTCTCTCATCTATAGTGACAAGTCCAGATGGAAAAGCTGAGATACTCTCTTGTCAACATATATTATTCTTGTTATTCTCCTATGACACTAAAATGTTCTAGTTTTATATAAAGTTAATGGAGTCAGCCACATTCTCTTTTTTGGGAAGAGTGATGGCTGCTAGAGAGGTTGAGGAGGGAAAGAGAGGGAAGGGCAAGAAAAGATTATTGCTGTTAACAAAGCTTGCTTTTTTTCCCTCATTGTCAAATAGCGTTATTCAGCAGACAAAAAACAACTGGGCCCACATATATTTGATAAAACAATAAGGTCCACATGCTGATGTCCAACATGAAGCAAAGGTGTTAATTACTGACATGTAGATTAAAAAATAATAATTAAAAAAAAATCTCCACCTGCACAGTATAACTTCTGAACCCTTGTTTTCCCAGGAACAGGAAAACTAAACAACCGGTCACACTCGTTGTTCTTATATAAAGGAAAATTTGAATTTTAAGGTAGATTATGACCCTAAGTGACAGAAAGAGCTATGCAACTAAGTTTGCACATTGAATTGATTAAAGAATCAAACCACTTCTAGATAAATTAGCTGACAAAGTGCAAGACAAACGCTGTCCCTCTTTATAGCCTCAGCCTGGACATAAGCAGATCTTGAAAATCATTAATATCCTGTGATTAAAATCATTAGAGTCAACAGCATCAGCAGATGGGCCTGATTCCCAGCCTGCTGTAAGTCAGCAATGGATCCCAGTATCAGACTGTAGACTTTTCTAAGCTAGAGATAACAATGGAGTTGACTATGTAGCTGATATGTAAGGACTGACTTGTTCACTTTATCTCAGTGTCCAAAAAAGATGTATTTACAGGAGTAGCTACAGAAGTCAGAGAGGTACATGCCTTCCCTCTCCAACCTTCTTTTAAAGTCCATGGCATTCTGTCTGATGTTCCCAATGATACTAATGTGGTGTGGTTTATCAGCAACTCAAATGATGGCCTGTTAGCTCCTCTCACATTGCATTTCTCACTCTGGCTTCTTTCCACATTGTCCTATTTCCTCAACTACCTTCTCTTGCGTTCCTTGAACTCTGTGTCAGAAGTTTCTGCTGCTAATCCTTCATCATTTGTTTTTTCTTCTTAGAAGTCCCTACTCCACAGACGTAGGTCTGGCTGTAGCAAGGATGTAGGTAAAGGCATGGGGCCAACTGTCTGTGAATATAACCCTGCCTCTGAGTTAGCACTGGGAGGAAAGGTAGGATGGCCTCTGGCCAGTGAGTGGTCAGTGGCACCACAGCCTCATGATGCTTTTAGCAGCTCTGCATGGTGGGGAAAGCAGCAAATGAAAACTTCTTCATACATTGTGCCTGTCCAAAGTCAGCAGAGCAGTGCCCTCCTTGTCAA